TTTTTTTTAAATAAAATTTTGGTTTATACGAAATGTTATGCTACCAAGACGAATGTGAATTGGTTTTATTTCTGCTTTTTTTCATTTAATAGAAAGGAAAAAAAATTCATGAATTCAAAATAAATAAAATCTGGATTACAGATGTATGAAAAATAAACTTTCATTCTTTCTTAATACTTCATAATCGAACATGATTCAAAAGAAAATACATTTATTATTTATCTAGGAAATAAATAATAAAAAAGTTATGTTAACCTTATTCATTAAGAACATATTGAAAGATATTTGATATAATTATTAGGATTTTACGTCTGTCGCACAATCTGCGTATTAAGTCTTTATAAAAGTCTTGTTGATAATCAGAAAGATCGTATATTTGACCGATTAAAATAAGTTGAAGATTAATGTTTATATTATATTCTTATCAACAGGAAATTTCTTGATAAGAAAAATAGTTTATTGATCAAAACAAGATAGAAAAATCACTCGATCGTATTTAATAATGTTTTTGAATAACTCATTTGAAAACAAATAAATATTACTACGAAATTTTCATATATATTTTTTTATGAAATATTTTTAGTAATATACTTATTATGATTGTACTTCTACGAAGTGTTTTCTCATGTTATGTGTTCCAGTCAATAAACACAATTTCCCGTAGAAAAAAAATATAAACTTTTTTTCTTCTCCTCTTCTTTGAACGCAATTATGCTAAATAAAATTTTGAAGATTGAATTCATACAATATGGTGCAATCAAATATTTACATTGATAAATCTATTTTTGTATTAGTATGATAAAAGAATATTTTATTTATAAGAATACTAACAAGTGAATATATATATATTATACTTTAAGAACGTTAACGTCTGATGCCAAAGAATTACTTTAACGTACTAATACTATGATTTACCATAATCGAAGGACATTTTTAAGAGCAAAAGAAATAAGTGCAAAAGTAAAAATCATTGTAATCATACTAAGCACTATCATTTGCTTCAATCTATTTTCTTATTTATTGATGAAAAAAATAAAGAATGCGTGCGTTACTTTCTCATCTATCAGTCGTATCATGTTTTCTAACTAGTAGAAATCATTAACGAAGATGAATTTTTAAGAATATAGATATATTCATTATGATGATGATCAAATTGATTTATATGAATCTATCCGTTTGAAATGAATAAATCCTTGACATTGACTATTAAGATTTAATGAACTCATATTTCAGTCATACGATAGAAGAAAATATTCTGCTTTGAAAAACTTTCTTTTGTATAATGCTTGTCTGACAATCAAATAGGAAAGAAGAAGAAAAAACAAGCAAGGATCAGCTCATAGTAATCTTATCTATAGATTTTTAAATTAAATAGAAATTCTAAATAATGTCATGTAAGATTAATATTTATGATTGACAAGTAAATAATTTACATGAAATATGAATTGATCTGGATAATAATAAAACTAATTCTAATGATAATATTTCAAGATTTTAATCGAAAATTTTCATACAATAAATAATGAGAATATTTTCGATTAT